GTTCATTCTAACGTGAAGACCATGTTGATTACTTTTTTCGATATTAAAAGCCTTATTTATTACGAATTTGTTCCAACTAGTCAAACGGTTAATCAGAATTAAAATAAAGAAGTTTTAATTAAATTACGAGAAAAAATCCGTAAGAAACGTCCAGATCAGTTCCAAAATCGATCGTGGTTGTTATACCACGACAACGCGCCCGCTCATTCTGCCTTATCAATCCGTGAGTTTCTAGCTGATAAACAAATTCCAGTTGTACCTCTACCCCCTTATTCACCAAACCTCGCCACTTGTGATTTTTTTTTTTTTTTATTTCCAAAAATTAAAACTGACCTCGAAAGACAAAGATTTGATGATATTGAAACAATAAAAAAAAATGCGGTGGATCAACTCAAACAACTTAAAATTGAAGACTTCCAACACTGCTTTAAAAAGTGGTAGGAGATATAGGACAAGTGTATAACATTGGGCGGTGAATACTTTGAAGAGAATTAATATTTGAAATATTATTTATATATTTAAACAAATAAAAATAAAACCCTGTATTTTTGATCAAACCTTGTATAAATATACACGAGGTTATAAACCCTATATATGCATAGTTTAAAGCATCTAAACTTCTATGCTAATTATTATACACTGCAGAGTACGATAAGCAATGATAAAAACGTTAATGGCCATAAAACGTTGGTCTAAAATCCTGTAATTGGACCATTTTAATTGCTTGCATATCCTTAACTACCGTTTATATAATAGAGAACTTGTATCAGATTGTAAACATTTTTCGCTAATAATTAACACCTTATCCGATGACTTGGATGTACGTAAATTATTTATAGTACGAGACCGAAAACTATCACTTTTTCTCATATATATATATATATTAGTAAATAATTGCAGTGCGTACAATTATCGAATATGTTACAATGATGTAAGTGTTTTTCAAAAATATTTAGGTAAAATAATTTTTTTCATTCTAAAGAAGTTTTTTTTTTTTATAACTTAACCGTTTTAACCTTATTTAGAAATGTTCCATAAAGATTTTCCTAAAGTGGATATTTTATCCGGTAAGTATTAAATTATTATTTTATTTTTTCCCATCATTCGATTAAATCTGAAAAGATTAAAAATAATATAAAATAAACCTGGAGTTATTTTTTTTTATATATACCATAATATACAAGTTTGAATTTATTAGTTGATTTCAAATGGAAGGGAGCTATAATAGTTATAAATCAGTGATAAGTTTATAGAATGATATGATAAATTGTGATCATAAAAAATAGTATTTAATTAATTGAATATACTTTATCAGTGAGTAAAAATTTGTTAAATATTTTAAAACATATTTTAAAATTTGTAAAAATACTAATTAATTAATATTTAAATATATTTAAATTTGATATGAAAATAAGAGAGAGTATATTTTAATATATATAGCTAATATTTTATCTAACGATATTTTTTGATCTTTGTTGAATATAAGTAAAATGTTTAATATTTTTATTGAAACGATAGAATTGAAGATAGATTTACTAATTATTTTTGTAGATTAACTGTCTCACTTTTTTAATGGTTAATATTTATTTATTCTATCAGAATAGTGAAATACATAATATATAAATTAGTATAATATAGGTAAAATATTCGAATCTCATTTCATATTTTTCTTCTCATTTATTGTAATTATAACTATGAAGTTTCCAATTAAGTTTTTAAAATATTTTAACGAACTATCTATTAGATAAATAATAAATTATTCATTGTTTATATGATAATGTAATTGTTTAATAAACATAAAATATATGTGGTTATTTATTGATATAGCATTACTGTAATATTTATGTTTTCTTTATTATACCTGTGTAAAAAAAATGTTTAATATATTATAAAAAGGCTAATTAGAATAATAAAAACGTGGTAGAAATGCTAACGTATATAAAAATAGAATAACTTTTAGTTAACTTTAAACTTCGACTTTATCGAAATAAATAAATAATATTTTAAAAAGATTTTAAGCGGAATTAAAGTAGTATAATGACGTAGGTATACAAAAAGTTTTTGGTAATTAACACTACCATTAGCATATTTTCCCGTTTAAATATAATAATCTAGCAATTATAAATTTAAACTTGAATAATTTTTTTGATCTGAATAAAAATGAGTAACTTAATATAATTTTACGTTTGAAGTATTATACTATTTAATAAAGTATTATGATATGACACAAGTTTGACGAAGAATAAATTTAATGAAAACTTATATAATGTAATTAAATTAAATTTAATAATGTAAATTACAGTTTTTTGTATAATCAAATAATCAAATAAATATTATTTTATTTCAATAATTTTTTGTAATAATTAAAATATTTTAGTTGGTACAATAAGAATTTGTTTAAGACTCATTAGTCATTTTAGTCATTGCTAAAAAAAATTACATAAAAAAAATATGGTTTTTATAATTTAATGATTTACTATAAATTGTATTTTAAAAAAAAGATTTTTATTTTTTAAATGTGTGATAATTATTGACGTACTGTAAAATTCAAAAATTCAGTATATAATAATGTACAATACTTTGTATATACTCGTATAATCCTTAAGCTAATAACATTTATTTTTGAAAATATTTTTTTTTAATTATTTTTTTATTATATTAAAAATATAATGGGTATTTAAGATTTTTAAGAAATTCAAAAATATGAATTGGAAAAACTTCATATAAGGAAAAACATTATACGATATTTATTTTGTATTATAGTCTTATATAATTTGAATATAAAAATAATCTAATTAGGTTATAACTAATTTTTTTTACTTTTTAAAGTCAACCATTTCATTAATTTAAAAAATATAATTTAATGACTATAATCCACTACCTATACATTTAGAATTGTAAAGTAATAATGGTTGTAATCGTTAAGCTTCTTAGAAGTTTAACATTTTTAAAACTTTATTTTTTCCTAAATAAATTTTTTTTAAACTTGATTATGTTGGAACATTAGGCTATTTTGTTTATGCAATAAAATATGTATTATGTATATGTCATTATATAAAGTTAAAAACCAACAAAGCTATTATATTAAATAAATTAACTATGAGAATTCGAAAATAAATTTAATATTTTATGTTTGCTTCCATTATAACAAAGGAATATATAATATATACATACACTTTTTATATATTTATAAATACGAATGGTTCTTAAAATTGTTTTAATACTACATTTCAATCATACATTAATATGTACGTAATATGAAAACAATTGATAGATCTAAGAATATTAGTTGAACATAACATTATAATTTATGAATTTAAAATTTAAATAGATTATACTATTATAGGTTATTTGTTTTACGAAAATTATATTTTCTTTTAAATATAAGCAATATATTTTTATATTAAACATTATCTACAAACGCTTAATATAAAATCGTATTTCTTATAAATTTTCCTTTTATCTTTTGCAGAAAATAAATTAGATACAAGATGTGAGGGGTTAAATTTATGTATACTATACGTATATAATATATTTATATTCATATATATTTGAACACGTACATATTAGTGGTTTTATGCTAGTTAACTGTAATAATATACTTTAATAACATTAAATGTTTTCAAAAATAATTTATTAATATTACTTTAGAATATTAAAATTATATTATTTTGAAAATATGACTTTCTAATTATCAACTTTGTTTAATGCCTCAAAACCCGTACTTAGTCTACATATTTATCTTTTGGTTTCTTATATTTAAAATACGTTTTAGTTTTTTTTTTTTTTTGAAGTTCATTCAAAATTATGATTTATGCTATTATGAAACTATTTGTTTTTTTGTTAAATTTAAATCAAAATTTAAAATTACATTAACTACCTAAAAATTAGAAATACTGTTATTGTTATTTGTTAGCATACTGCTTGTGAATGCGAATATATTTTTAATAAGGTTATAATACAAATATCATTATATAGGATATATTTAAGAACCCGCAGTAGTCCTCATAGCAGGAACTAGAACCTTGATGATTTTTACGGTTCCGGTTCTGGCGAGGCTCCTAGAAAAACTAAAATTTCGGTGTTTTTAAAAAAAAAAAAACTATGATTTCGGTTCCGATTCTTTTTCGGTTTATAAATTTAGGTTTTAGTTTTTTTCGGTTCTTATGAAATTAAAATTATGTTCTTTGCTTAGGTTTTATACTTAGATAAATATGGATTCATTTCTATTCTTTAAAAAATATTATTATTGAAAATACTAATATTATTAATCTTCATAATAACAATAATATATTTACGTAGGTATTTGTTTAGATCATAATTCTTATTATTAATGACAAATAAAAATATAAATAATATAACTAACACAAAATTGAAATTAATTATAATTCATAAGAAATCTTTACAAAAAAGTTACGGTTTTAAAAAAAAAAATTAAATAAGGGTTCCGGTGGACTTTTGGTGAGGTTTCGGTTCCCAATATTCAAAGAGTTTTAGTTCCAATATCGTTTTTTTTGCGGTACGGTTCCAGTCTTTACCTGATAGTTTATTATTTTTACGTATTATAAATTTATATATTTTTAGTTCTTAATTCATAAGAACGATATAGTGTAATTTAAATATATTTAAACATAAGTGTTTTTTTGCTACATTTTTATAACTGCGATAAAAATGAATGTTTTTAAATTATGAGTTAGTAAACACAGTAATTCAGATAGGTGGTAGCCTGTAGATACTATAAAAAAAAATCAGATTACTAATCAATGTCGGTTAACACTATCATCATTGAATGATTATTGATCCAATACTATAGAAAATATATGAAACGATTCAATTACAAAGTTAAAATAAGTTGATCATTCAAGTCATAAACATAGAGTCAAGTTATAGAATAAATTATTATATTATGACATAAATTTAAAACACAATTATATACACCTTAATATGTATGGATTTTAGCTATATTAGAAGGCTTTTTTAAAATAATAATAATAACTTACATTTATAAATCTACCAGGATCATCCTCTACCAGCTGGCGGGCTATGTCCTTACATGATTTTCTTGCAGGAATCGGCACTTTTCCATCATCTTCCCAATATCGGCTAGGTGAGTGCGCGTATAAAGCCGACGGTGTAGCATGCGTAATTCGAGTATTGGTTACTAGTCCAGTTGATTTACCTAAAATGAAAAAAAAAATACAAGGACTGTTCAAACACATTATTATTTTATTTTTACATAAATTAAATGATTTATTAACAGTTAATTAATATACAAACAGAATATAATATATTCTATTAGTTACAGTGAAAAATAGGGGTTGTTGTTAGCAGTGAATGATGAGAATGATTGGATGATAGTTAGCTGGAGTTAAAGAGGTGTAAGAACAGGGCTTGTAAACAGCAAGATATATTGAAATTAATGAGAGCTAGAAGTGCGAGAAAGTTGACTTTATTTGTTAGGAGGTTAAATAGAAATCTGAGGTTTATCGTATGTTTAAGATCAACAAGATTTGAGTATAAAATGTATTATACATATATAGCGTAGACTAAATTGTATTATAGACTTTGTAAAATAACAATGAATTGTCCAATATATTATATGGTTTAAAATTATCGGTACCACCCATTTTGAATGGTGGAAAACGTAAAAAGGAATTTCGCTGAGTAAATTACTTGAAGTCAAAACAATACGAATGTTCTATAGGTAGATTTTTAATTTAAAACAATTTTTAAGTCTATTAATATTAAACAGTATATTAGACATCAAACATCGATACATGTGCATTTTTAAGTAATTTTATTTTGGAAATTTTATTGTTTCAACTATATGGTAGTAACTGGAAATTATATAGTAAATGCATAATTTTATCTCGTTCTACGACATGGTGATATCAAGTGAGTATGTGCAATCATTTTTTTCTTAAAAAATTACTCGGATTTATACATTTTTATTTTTATGTGTATTATTTCGAGTCTAAAATGAATACACATATTATAACAGCAGTATAAATTCTGGTATACAATGGATTTTTTGTGTTTCCACGTATACCAACTTAAAGATGAAATTTTAACTCGAAATACTTTATTTATTTAATAGGTACCTAGTAATTATTTTATTACACTGTTTTTCGTAGAATAAAGATTGTTACTGTGGAAAATATTCTTTTTATTATTTTATCAAACAATTTTTATATGAATAGAGAGTGAATACAATTGAGCAGTGTTGTTTCGGGAAACAATCAAGGAAAAAATTAAGTTATTTTTTTTTTTTTTTTTGAATAGTAAGGATTAATATGAGGCGGCCTTTAAAAATCTGTTCACCAACGGAATATTTTATAACACTGTACTGTGACGGTTCGCCGACAATGTTTATCAGTCTCGCAATTTGCAAAGTTGTAAAGCTTGCAACTATGCAACTACACTTAGTATAGCAATAATAATGAGACTTATTTATTTAAGTCTTGACAATTTTACGATTTTTGACTTAAGTACTCTATTTCAAATTAAAAAGTTTCATTGTTAATTTTTTAAATTATTGCCTAATTCAGAAATAGTTTTTCCACATTTAATTACGGATACAGCAATTACAATTAAAATAATTTTAATATGGACGTATAAATAATTAATAACTCTAATAGTTTAGATACATTTAATTATTTATAACGTACTAGGTAACGAATTAAAATCATACAAGTGACTTTTTTGTTTTCAGTTGGAAAAAAATTCTTGCTTCTTATTTTTACCACATGTATTATTGTAACAAGATGTAAATTGTAAACAGTTCCAAATTGCGTTATATTCAGTTAAATTTAAAAATGCATATAGCTATTTTAATTTTTAATCATCAGTTTTATTTTTAAACCATTTTTATACAATTTTAATATTAAATTTAAGCACTTCTTATGATATTATATGATTGTTATAATTATTTAAATAAATAAAATTTTGTATTAATAAATAATTAATTTTATGATATTATGGTTATAATATGTTTCTATTATTTTAATAGATTCAAGTATAAAATAATGTTATTTTTATTATTTTATTATTTTTAATTGTATTGCATTAATATTCCGTTTATAATTTGATTACGAAATGATTAAATATTTATCGATATTTTTGTAAATTGTAAGGCGTACAACCTAAATATTATTTTCAATGTTTCATTCATAAAAAAACAATACATTATACCTGTCTAAAGTTCAGTGGTGTTCGGTAAGGAGAGTAGAGTATTATGTTAGGTCAAACTCATTCGTTGTTTTTGTTGAACCGTTTTACTAAAATAATTTAGATTGAAAAATAATACTGCGTCAAATAAAGGTTAAAGGACTTAAATAAAAAACCATAGTCAAGAAGAATATATTGCACTATTCTATGTAATAAACTATGTTGTGAAAACCTAAAAGATTATGATACTTATATGTTTTGCTTTATGAATGATCTTATCAAATCAATAGATATTATATAGTAGTAAGTACATTATTTAGATTTAATATGCATGCTAGTAATATTTTATTTATTATTATAACAAATAGTATTATTGATTAGATAATTAAACAATAATCAATAATCGTTAGTTCTATTTAATTTTAGACTCATCGATTAATTGGTGATATAACCAGGAATTTAGATGATTCGTAGTTAAAGATTTTTATTTTCCTTAAACTTAGAAGATCGTAAAATGTAACAAAATAAATTATTTTATTTAATTAAAGTATAAAATTTCATTAGAAATCAAATTATAATAAAATATAATTTATTGTGATTTATTTATTAAATTATTTGAATAATCTCAAATAAAAACTAAATATAAATACAATTTTTGAAATGAATAAAACCTATTCTATTAACATATTTTCGCTTAATTATAATCAAACTAAAATAGACAATTATTTGGCCCATATTTTACTTTTTAAGAAAAAAAAAAAATTCATCTTTAATCACAGTTGTAAATAATTCAAAATTAATTTAATCTTCATACAATTGTTAGCAACTGCTGTTTGACTAAAAAAAAAAAAATAAAAATAAATATTCAATTAGTGCTATAAACGTTAAATGAAATCAACGATTACAACAAGTATACAGTTTGAGAATGTAGAGGAATATTTTTTATTTACTAATATGCTGTTATATATATATTTATTTTACTATATACACAATAATTTAGATATTAAGCAATTTTAAAATAAAAACAAATATTTTATTTTATATTATTGTTATAAAACTTTCCAATTGCATGATTAATGTTTTCACTTTAACACTGTATTTTTTAACCATTTTTTTTCTCTTATTTGATACCTTATGATGTTATGAAATATTCAATTACTTAATTTTTAGCCAATTGAAATATAATATAAATTATAATAAATTGTACAATAATTATAATATACATTTCTATAAAAAATAAATTTAAACAGAATAAATAATTAAAATCACTATTAAATAATACAATCAACCCGTTATAACATAATTTTATTTAATATGAATTCCTTTCTACAAACCATAAGTTATTTAATCACGCATAACAGATATATATTCTACACTATAATAGCTATTGATCAAAATAGTAATCCATAAAAGTCCTGTAGAGTGATTAAACGATCAATATTTTCATTAAATTATAGATTATAGTAGTATGAAATACTCTACCAATTTACACTTTAATTTTTAAATAAAATAAAAATGTTCATTAAAATTAACATTATATAAAATATTCATATCTTTCAATAATTTATGGAAGCATTTAAAACATACTCATAACCAAATGTACTCATGCTTTGTTATATGTTAGTAAATTGAATAATTTCATATATATTCTATAACAATTTTGTTAAAATAAATGAAAATCTTTGATGTAACTTAATCTTTGGAATATAATATACTAGTTTAATCATATTCGGTTCTTATTCCTTACTCTTTAAAATTCGCACGCGATAGTTGATAATTATTAAATTTAAAAGTGTGTCGATGGAAGATATTTTCATACTAAATATTACTTTCAATAATATATACTTAGAAAAAACGAACTACAATATTCCAGTAGTCTAGTTATTGAATATCAATGGTACAACCAAGCAAAGACTTTAACTAAATGTAGCATGTCAAGTGTATATTTTTACATAATTAATTGCATAAACACACAATATATCAAAGCAAATTTGCCGAGAGACTGAACCTGCACGAAGAACGAAAACTCGTTGTTTCTCCTTACTTAAACATTTATCGGACACGGGTCGCCTATTTATTACGTGTTGCTTTAGAGTGATGACAAGTTAAACAGTGTCACGTTTCATTATTATTATTATTCACATATCAATATATTGTTTATTTTTTAGTTGGTTAAAACAATAATGTATTGTACTAAAATAGATTATTATTAAATTATTATCAATGATACGATTACGATACGAAGTGTGTTAAAAACAGCCGACGCGGATGTTAGTTTATTTGAACTCACTCTGTATAGTTTTAGTAGACAGAGAAGGGATTTTTAACGAAGCACCCGTATTTCTGTTAGTCGGATACGGAAAGTGGTACGGTCTCTCGGCGAATGAAGTATACCTACCCATATGTGTGTGTGTGTGTGTATAAGTATGTAAATTTATAGCTATACATGTATTTATAACACGCAAAAATGGTATAGAATACATTAACACAAGACAATTGCATTTCACAGTAATAAAGATAACGTAACTTGTTTAATGAACACTGTGTCGGAATTAATATTGAACCTCTTTATAGTACGAGTAGCCCCACTAACACATAATAACCATAATAACCAATAGGTACAGCAATGATAAAAAAATAAAAATAATTATTGGCCATATCTTTTAAAATATTTTATCCAAAAAAAGATTATAGTATAAATATAATTTGATTACTTATTAATTTCGAAAGTTCATCGATTACTTTAAACGCCTAAACCATCTTCGTTCTTACCAAGTCAGTATATTTATAATTTTAATTTTTAACTATTTACAAACATAATTGTATTTTGTTATTAAAAATGTATCGATAAATAATTCTATTTTTTCAGATATCAAAAAATTGAGAATTTTTCATCCTTTTTTTTATTGTTTCTTCATTCTGACAATGAAATTACTACGATTTTTTAATTTGTGAAAACGCTTTTAAACAGTAACGTTATTGGGAAAAAATTTAGAGGGTGGCAATATAATT